GCATGTATCAGAATTAGGCTACCTATTTGCTCACGCACGAGCAGATACGTTTCCTCTCTGAGACGCCTTCTGTCTTTGCACTTGCAAATTCCGCCGTGTAAATAGCAAATCCGCCATGGCACAAGCGCAACTGGCTCTTAAAGGGAATGGGAGATGAGACTCTGATTGGTTTATTGCACGTTTGCCCAAAACACACCCATTACTCATTAAGAAAATAGTGACAACCCTTTTAGACCATGCGCCAGAGCGCAGACCGTTTTTCCCATCCTTAAACTAGCAAAAGTGGATTTGGACACGCCCTAAGTGCACCGGCGCCTTGTGCTTTTTAGACCATGCGCTTAGATCATTAAAATGGAGCCCATAGTGTTTGAAAAAAGAAAACGCTGTACTATTCAAACATCAGTTATTTATTTACCCTTGCATTGCGAAAAGACGGAGATCTGTCTCCTCCAGGCTGAGCGGCACGTCAGTCTGAATGGAGACGGGGTGAAGTTAGAGGTTTCGCAGAGAGCTTGATCCAATGGCATTATACGAAGTTTTACTGAAAAGCTCTTTTAATACTTATCATTGGATTTGGACACGCCCTAAGTGCACCGGCGCCTTGTGCTTTTTAGACCATGCGCTTAGATCATTAAAATGGAGCCCATAGTGTTTGAAAAAAGAAAACGCTGTACTATTCAAACATCAGTTATTTATTTACCCTTGCATTGCGAAAAGGCGGAGATCTGTCTCCTCCAGGCTGAGCGGCACGTCAGTCTGAATGGAGACGGGGTGAAGTTAGAGGTTTTGCAGAGAGCTTGATCCAATGGCATTATACGAAGTTTTACTGAAAAGCTCTTTTAATACTTATCATTTGTTAAATATTTGTAAAACCCCGATTTAAAATAATAATAACGAATTATATATGGAAACTGTAGGGCATGTTTTCTTGGAATGTAGGAAGAATAATATAGAAAGAAAAGCACTTTTTGATAAATTGGCAGAATTTGGAGTTAAAGTGTTTTCTGTTACTTCTTTGTTTGGAAACAGTGATAAACATAAACTGATCTCTGAGGTAGTTCTTCAGTTCTTGCATAATACAGGACTGTATATAAGAATTTAGGTCAAACTTTGACCTGTGGAGGGCAGTAATACGCCCAGTAGCGTCTACACTGCCGGAAAGATATTATAAGAAGAAGAAGATTATCCGGGAGTGACGCGCGGTGACGCGCTGCCAAGATGGCGACGGCCACCTCCGCCCAATTTTGAGCTTCAAAAACGCTCTTCGGAAATCTAAGGGTGTGTCACGGACACACGGACACTACATTTTGCTCTGTTTTGGTTGGATTTAGGAAATGGAACAAAATAAATTACATTGCCTATCCTCTCAGGATACCTGGAATTAGTGTTACAAGTACCCTAGGCACATCGTTTTTCCATTTTTGTAGCATAAACACCATTAAACCGATGCGAGCTTTGGATCTTCCAATGTTTCTCTATGGCGCTGAAACCTAAAGATGTCCGAGTTCCGCTCCCCGTGCAACTGATACTCGACTGCCATTGGCTCATCTGCGTTCGAGGGGAGGGCTTACCGATAGGTCAAATTGGAACATCCATTTTAATTTTTCTGGATTTGGTTTATTTATTTATTTTTCTGGACTCTGTTTTAAAAGTAACCAAAAAGCATGTCTAATTAATTGAAGTCATAAAACGTATACAACTTAATTTATTAAAAATTGCATTAAACTTTTTTAGGCCCCTGAAAATATAGTATATGAAAATATACTATACTTTATTACCTTTGCATTAAATTACAAACAAATAGGTTACAAATAGTAACCGCTACTGAGGGTGTTTGCAGCTGTGGGAGTGACTAAATTTGTTATCAACCTCTCTCTATTTTCATATCTTTCTGAAAGCTGTGAGTTTTTCCATTTGTTATTTGAGGATTTCATCCCAGGGTACGCACAGACTTTTTTTTTTTTTTGGTCAAAAACAGCACTTTAAAGACCAATTCAATTCAATATCTTGAGCATGTAACTACACGTCTTTAAGACTTGAGGACCAAACGGTCAGTGACAGCAACACCGAGCAGGTGACACGCCTTTAAAAACGGCACGAAAACAGCAAACATCAATAAATTGATAACAATACATCCATCAAGAGCATGCTCACAGCTGGTAAACATCAACAGACAACAAAACAATGCTGATGTAGATATTCACGATTGAAAAAAAAAAACTTACTGTAAGTTTTAATTAAAATAGCCTAGCCTACTGTTGGTGTATGACCGCTTATTCATAACACCGCTTAATTTTCACAAAGTTAGCCTCTCAATAAGTAGCTTTTGTTTCAGTTATTTGTAGGCATTGCTATGCAGTTAATAAAGAGATAGAGAGTAAGAGAAAGAGTGTTTTTTTTATTTTAGTCGCTTGCGTGTATATGTCTTGTGTGTGTGTGTGTGTGTGTGTGAGAGAGAGAGAGACAGAACGCGTTGTCCACAGATCAGTGGTTTTTCCAACTTTGATGCCAAGGACCTGCAAATATAATAATTCCCTTCAGATCTGGTTTTACGGAGGTGCTAAAGATGAAGCTGTAATACTAACCCAGACAGCAACATAGTGTTGGCCCAGATCCGGCCCGCATCTGGCCCGTGTGAAATCCATGCGGGCCAGATGTGGGCCGGATCTGGGCCGACACTTGTAGCTGTCTGGGAACAAAACAGAGAATGCATAAACTCTTTAAAAGAAGCTACTGAATTTCTCTTTAAAGTGATGCATGATGTTAAGAAAGACATTGTGACTCTTAAGGAAGTAAACGAAGAACATCAGAAGAGAATTTCAGAGTTGGAAGAAAGAGTGAATGAAGCTGAAAGATACCAACGAAGATGGAATCTAAGGCTTTACGGTCTAGCAGAGCAAGAAGGAGAGAATGTCAAACAACGAGTGATTGACATATGCCGCGCCGTGGTACCGGAGGCTGCAGATAACTTTCCTCATCACATTGATGTTGTTCATCGCGTCGGGAGGAAAAGCGCCGAGAAGGTTCGACCGGTCATCTTGAGGTTTACGGCGAGATCAGCCAAGGAGCTCCTGTGGAAGAGTGCGAAGGGATCAGAGTATCTTCAGTCCAGAAAGTTAAGATTTGGAGAGGACCTAACAACGAAAGACAAAGACACGCGTAACAGACTTTGGCCTCAAATAGAAGCTGCGCGCAAACAAGGGAAAAAGGCATTTTTTGTCGGTGCCAAAGCTATAATTGACGGCAAAGAAATCCGTGGATAAAGTATGACTGATGTTGAAGCAGATTATTTAGTTTTTTGAGGATAAGGTTATCCTTTCTAATAGCTTGAAAGTAAAATGTA